TTTGTCCATAACTCACTGCCATCAAGTCAGATCCAACTGATAGCGACCCCTTGGAAACCCAAGGCAGTATCACTACAGAAGTAGATCGCCCAGTCTTCCTCCCGAGGAGCAGCTGTGGGTTTGAACCACCATCCTTCTGGTTAGCTGTCAGATGCCTTAGGCACTATGCCACCAGGACATGCACAATAAGGAAGGCATATTTGCCGTCATATGGGTCTGGATTCTCTTTCCTTCTGCTAATTCTAAAGCTCTAGTGAGGCCTATGAGTTCTGCCTTCTTGGCAGATGTGTCTGTGGGTAAGGAGCTGTTCTCTATAACCCTTGTTTTGGAAACCAACACATATCCTGCACACCAGTGGCCATTTATTACCATGCTGCTTCCATCAGTCAACCAAATATCTGCTGCCCCCTGCAATGGGCTATCTTTTAAATCTGATCTCCCTGAGTAGGTTTGGTTATTACCTCCTCACAATCATGGTGGAGAATCTCCATGGGTCCTCTAGTCTCCACAGGGAGAAGAGTGGCAGGGTTTAGAGTCTTCTATAACTCAAGTCTGATGTCAGGTAGTACATCTATATCCAAGTAAAAAGGTTAACCAGGTCTGGGATTCCCAAGGCTGGTGCCTGCAAGAGGGATCTTGTGAAATCCTGAAATGCTGCCTCCTGTTCCTTTCCCCAGAAAAGGGGTTGTTCTTTGCCGTTTAAGGCTTCATATAGTGGCTTGGCTGTTTCCCCAAACTGTGGTATCCAGATATGGCAGAACCCTGCCATGATGAGAAATTCTCTAATCTGTTTATGGGTGGAAGGAGAGGCAAGTGCACAGATAGAACCCACTCTGGCATGGGATAGCTTCCACTGCCTTGGTGAGATACTGAACCCAAGTAGGTAACCTCAGGCGTGCATAGTTGTGCCTTCTCCTTTGAAACTAGAACCCTTTCTCAGCCAGGAAGTTTAATACTCTTCAAGTGTCAGCCATTGCTGATAGTAGGGGTGCAGACTAGTAGGTCATCCACATATTGCACTATGGTGCTAGGGGATGGCATGGGGATGGCAGTTCTAGCTCTTCCAGGAGTCTGCTTAAGATGTTCTCAAAGATTTGAGGGGAATGCCTGAATCCTTGTGGCAAAACTTCCCACTGTAATTGGCATGCTCGCCCAGTAGCAGGCCATCACATTCAAAGGCAAATAAAAATTGTGAGTCCTTATGTAAAGGAATAGCAAAGAAAGCATCTTTCAAGTCCAACACTGAAAATCAGGTTACACTTAAGTGATAATAGTATAGGGATTGGGAACCACTGGATAGAAGGGCACCACAATCTGATTTATTGCTTGTAAGTCTTGAACTAACCTTCACTTCCCATTTGCTTTCTAATGGCTAAAAGGTGGGGTGTTTCAAGGTGATAGCTTTCCTATGAGCATGTCTGCCTTTAGTAGGATTAACTGGGATTAGGGCTTGTCTTTGCCCTCTGAGGAGAGAGGATACTGTACCCTTTTTAAGTAGGTATGGTTTTGTTTTAGTTGTATCTTCACTGGAGGTATTCCACTAGCCTTTTGCCGCCAGTCACTTGCCCAAACTGTGGGGTCAACACCAACAAGGTCTGGGGAAGGAAGCTCCACACTACCACCTGTTTCTGCTGGTGTCCCCATGCACATGATTCTAGGATGCAGTTGCAGCTGAAAGCCTGTTTAGCAAGAAAATCTCTTCCTATAAGGGAAATGGGCACTTCTGGTATTAAAAGGAATTGATGGAAAATAAGAATTCTCTCCCCCAGCGACAAGTTAATGGAGGAGTTTTATATCTTTTAACTGGGTGACTGTCAATGCCCACTACCAAGCAGGAGGGGGGAGGCTAGAGTACTGCCAAAGGATTTTAGGGCCGAATAAATTGTTCCTGTATCAGTGAGAAATCCTATATGCTTACTGGCCACTTCCATGGTTACCCAGGGTTCTTTGTGGAAAGCACTGATGATGTGAGTAGGAGCATTTCTCGAACCCAGGCCCTGTCATTCCTCCTGGTTGGCTGCCATCGGGACCTTGTGATCTCCACATCTCCTGCTTCAGGGTGAGGGGCAATCATTGAACCAGTGTCCCACCTCTCCACAGCGAAGACATGGCTTCCGAAGGGTGATGACATTTAATGGGGCTGGGCACTTGTTACAAACATGTCCAGGCTTGCCACATCAGAAACATGTAACCCTGCCATCTTCCCCTGGGCCATGTAGGGTGGCTGGTTTGCCCAAGGCAGCGAGTGCTGCCACTAACAATTTGGCCTTTTGGCAGTCCTGACCTGTTACCTCAATCTCACGGTTGTTGAAGACTCTGGTGGCCAGCTCCAATAGCAGAGGTGGGTTTGACTGCAGATATCAGGAGCAGACTGGTTCATAAAATGGGTGTTTATGACAGTGTTGGCCTCAGGAGTATTTGGACTGAGATTGGTATACTTTCTGATTGCCTCCATCGGCTTTCCCCTGAAGACAGCAGCGTTCTCAGCCTTCCCTTGAATGACCTCAGCCATTTTGGCAAAATTTACAGGCTTAATTTGGATGCTGCTCACCCCTCCTAAGAGATGGAGGATCATGTGGCTTTGGAGTGTCACATACACACCCCCCCCCCTTCAATCTGATAATTCCATCCGGGATCTGCTAAGGGCACAGCCTCATTCTGTGTGGGCGAAGCTTGATGGGCGTGAAGGTGGTCTCCACAGGCTTGCCCTGCTGCCACTGTTCAGCTTTGCTCATCAGGGTTGCAGCAGGACAACAGGAGGACCCAGAGGTCCTTCTATGTTAGGTCATACATTGGAGTTAATGTGCTCAGATTCCTCTATAAACTGTGAGGGGTCCTCTGAAAAGCTTCCTATCTTCTCCTTGCAGCTTCTGAGGTCCCCCATTGAGAAGGGGACATGGACCCTGATTGTTGTCCCCTGGGCCCCAAGACCTTCTGTAGCAGCAGCCCAGCTGCGAGGGGGCCCCAGCCAGGGCTGTTGGAACTGTCTCCTCCATGACAGGCCCAGTATCAGGAGGGGCCGTAGAATTTTGTTTCTGGCCTGTAGGCGGAGATGGTGACAAGGTTCGAGGAGCTGCAGTAGTCTTCTTTTCTGGGAGTGGCTTATTTATAGGACTCCTCTCTACACAGGACTCATGTAACTTGGGATTATCTCTGACATGTATAAAAGCACTTACATAAGGGACCTCTGTCCACTTTCCTTCCCTCTTACAAAGCAGGTCGAGCTGCAGGATGATATTATAGTTTAGGCTGCCATTCTGAGGCCAGATGTCCTGGTCCCCAAGCTGCTACTGGGGCCATACAGTATTGCAGAAGAGTATGAGTTTCTTCTTCCGCAGGCTATCCAACGGTAAAGCCTTCCAGTTGTTCAGCAAGCATCCCAGGGGCGAATTGGTGGGGATAGACACTTCCTGGGCCGTGTTCCTAAGAGACAGAAAAGAGAATAAAAGGAAGGTTTGTAGAGGCTGCCAAGAGTGCCGAGGGTGAGCCCATTGGGCTACCAAGGGTGAGCCTCTTTATATGGGGAATCCACGCTATGACCCCATAAACACTGAGTTTTTCTGTAGAAGTTATGTAGCTCCTTGCCACAGCCACCCTAGCCAAACACAGCCTACCGTCCCCTCCTTTGTGCTTTTCTTGGTGTCCGATACCGTTGGTGTCCCACCACCACATCTCCTACACTAGGATGCAGGCCTCTGCTTCTGGCATCTACGAAAATGTTCACACAGAATCGCTGCCACTGGGCCTCCCTTACCAGCAGCTAGAGAACTGCAATCGCTGTGAGAGTTCTCAAGCTAATGGATCCTTGCGCTGTCGGAGTTGACAGCATTTTTCCCATCAGGTAATCGTTCCCTTTGGGTCAGTCTCACTACATTTGACTCCTGCCATCCAATGAGTCTGAAAACAATCTTCTGGATGATGCAGTAAACTGGCTAGTCCCCACGGAGTTACTACTTCCCTTAATGTTTCTTCCGAGACTGTTGATGCCTGCACACAGAAAATACACTGGTCTTATTCTCTAGCCCATCCTTCAATTAAATTTCTCCATTTCTCCCAAACTCACAAGCACGGAAAAGTAAAAACCCTGTGTTCCAAAGCAGTTGATGCCAAGCACACGTGCTCCCATTTCCCTGCCAAACACACAAGCTCACTTATTCTGTTTCTTTAAGATGACTGCTCCCAGGTCTCTGCTTGCTCTTGCTCGGGCCTGCTTATTTTCAAGTCTCGCGTTTCGGCACCAATATGTTATCAAGGTGAGGAAGCCCTCTATCTGGTCTTGCCCAACTCGCAAGAAGAATCTCCACAAGCAAGCGATTTGCAGGCAGGCAGTCGCAGGCGATCTGTGAGCAAGCAGTGTTGGGTGGCACCTCAACAGACCTACTCAACAAAGCTCCAGTCACACAAGCACACAAGCCTTTATGAAAAGCAAAGTACATTTCCAAAGGGTGGAAACAGGTCTCTCCCCACGAGTGAGAAGGACCCCAAGCTGTCTAGCTTAATTGCTTTGTTCTTCGTAAAAGAGATGTTCTTAAGGTGGGGTTGGGCCCCTTGAGTGACAGGACCTAAATATATAATCATATCCCTTCTGCGTACGTTCCTTCCCATAATTCAGTCTGTTATAATTAGATTCATGAGCTGACCACAGTGCTAATTAGGTTATATTGATATGGCCACATCATTTGGGTCAGGGGTATGAGGCTTCTGCACATGCCCCAAATTAGGGAATTCCCCAAAATCTCAAGTTCATGGGTCTGTGGTGGTTCTGCTTAATTTTAATTGGCTACATCTCACAGGTGGTTGCAGTCAGTTGCAGGTATTAGCTCATTAACCTCCTTAAATATTCTGCCTCTCTCCCTTTCTCCTTGTTTCAGGCCTGCCCCTAAGGCAGTCCTCCTATCCTATCTTCCTGCCTAACACTGGCCGTGTCTTTCCACAGGGCCTTGGTGAATGGCATGCACCTTGGTTCAAGTGGAGGTTATTGACTTTGCTTTTCTTTGTAGGCCCCAACACTGCAGAGTGCAGTGTGCCGATTCCTTGGCTAAGTGCCTGGTCCTGGATGCTGATGACGAGGCTGTCCTGAACCTCATTGCAGAGTGTGAGTGGGACCTGAGCAACCCTCCTGGAAGCACGAGTGGCAGCCACAGGGAGCAGGAGACGGACTTCCCCAGCTCACAAGGTACGCTGCTCACCCCACACAGCAGCCGACTGAGCGAGCAGGCGTGTTCTGGGTGTCTCCGTGCATGATTGCACTCTTCAGAAGACCTACCTTCAGATGTGGCAACTTGGTGAAGTTTTTGTATGCTTTTGGCTTGGACTATAGAATCACAGAAGGAAAAGGTAAAGTGTTTAAGTTTAGCATGGGTGTACCTCACAGAGTTAAATCGAATTCTTTCAGGTTGCGTGGAGGTAAGGCGTTCTGTGGCCACGAGGGATGTTCACTTAGCTTTCACAAAGTGCTAGGAGCCCATGCCTGTTTTTGGACCTTTAGACCCTAATAAGGACCTCATGTGACAGTGCATTGTGTGGCCTTGTTTAAGGTCCTTGACGAAGGACTTTCTCACTGGCACGTGTTGGTAAGCTTCAGCTTCCTGTACTCTTCTCCATAATGGGTGTCTAAGAGCTGTTCATTCTAACAAGTGGAGGCATACGTTGGGCCTGAAACCCCAGAACTCTGCCCTCTTGGCAGTGGCATCCCCCAGGCCCCATGTTCATCAGCTTCCAGTATTTTGCACCTGCCTCTTGGACACACACCATGGTGAGCCCGAGTCAGCGTCCTCCCCACCCCTGCAGCCTACACCAGGGGCTTCCCTGGTTCAGGTGCCACTTGACATTAATTAATAGAAAGATTATTCAAAGTGGTTTTGAAGGGCAGGGATAAAGAGGACTTGGACCAAAGGGAAGTCAGTAAAATGGCAAACCTGGGTGAGTGCAGCTGCCTTCCTGCTTCTTCCCACAGCCAAGATGCAGAGACGGGGGCTTACCCCACACACCTGGAGACAGTGAGGGGGCTCATCCACTCTGGAGGGGCCTGCATGGAGGCGATGTCTGGATGGAGGTGGTATCTAGATGGAGGTGGTGAGGGGGCTCACCCCAGTACCACCCATGTCTATTCTGTAGGGACCTGGATAGAGGTGGTTTGGGGGGTTCACCCTGAGACCACCCATGTCCACTCTGGAGGGGCCTGGATGGAGATGGTGTCTGGATAGAGGTCGTGTGGGAGGCTCACCCCAACACCACCCATGTCCATTCTAGAAGGGCCGGGATGAGAGTGATGTCTGGATGGGGGTGGTGTGGGGGGCTCACTCCGAGACCACCCATATCCAGTTGAAAAGGGCCTGGATGGGAGTGGTGCTGGATAGAGGTGGTGTGGGGGACTCACCCCAAGACCACCCGTGTCCACTCATAAGACGGGCTCCATGGCTGTCTCCCCTCCCACAGGGGGCGGATGTCATGTTCCCCTGCAGTGACAGGTCCTGGTGCCAGGGGAGCTCACAGAGTGTGAGCTGTGACCACTGTTGCCCCGTCACAATGACCTGACCACCCACAGTGCTCCTTTGTGTCCTGAGTCATGTCACCTTCTCAGTGAAGGTCTGAGCAGCAAAGCCCTCCCTCCAATGACTCAGCGGGATGAAGAGGAGTGTTTTGAGAGAAAGCAAGTATGAACAGTAACGAACAGCAGCACTGGCTGTGTAGCTTGTTCTAGGGGGCAGGTGTTAGCCCAGCAGCCCCCACCCACCCTGCAATAGGGGAAGAGACCCCAGATGCAAACAGCTTCTACAGAGGCACGTTCATGAAGCCTTAGACGGGACAAAGACACTGGTCCAGGACGAGGGAAGCCATTAGCAGGTACACAGTAGAGAAAGCTGAATAGTCTGCTGTGTCCTGGCCATGGGGCTAATTACACGACTGAGAGCAAAAAGGATCATCGCAGAATCACGCCTGGAGATAAAAGGATTTGTCACTGTCAGAGGCGGGACTGGAGAAATGGGGAAAGGACCATGCCTGGGATACGTCCATAACTGAAGATCCAGAAGGATTACAGGATTGGTTCCGGGGCTTGACCACCTGGCTACTGGCTGTGTGGTGGTCCAGATGTGACTCATGACCGTACAGCCTGAGTCATAGCTACAGGGTGGCTCTAAGTCAATCCCAGGACCACAACCCTCATTGAAGTTAGAGAAGGACACATCCAGGCAGGTTCCCTAGTTCTCTGTGTGAGCACAGTCTGCCTCCATCCACATACACTGAGGGCAAGCTGCTCTGTCCTGGAGCATGTCTGTGCACGGTCACAGCGTTTAAGTTCAGAAAGAACTCGCATCTGAACTTCCACGGATTCAGGCTCTCACCATGGCAGCTCTCCACAAACCAAGTGCTTGAGAGTTGAAGGGTTAACCTGCCTTGCAGGGTGCACATCACCTGTCTTCCCCAGGAGCCACTGAGGCACCAGTGGTGGAGCTGGGACCAGGACGGGGGCCATGTCTACTTGCACACACCACTGGTCCCATTTGGGCCCTGGCACCATGTTTCCTCCCTAGGGTGCCTTGTGACCACCGGGCAGTGTAAGGAGAGGTGGGTCTCCATAAGCACTGTCATCGAGCTGGCCCGAGTGGTTTTGGTTGTGAAGTACGGCTCAGATGAAACGTTAGAAAACAAACGCCCCTTGCCCCTCCAGGTTTGTTCTTCAGAGTGGGCCCTGTTCCACTCTGCAGACTTTAAAGTGACTTCCGGAAGGATCGCCATACCTGGACCATGTTCTTCTAAATACCCTTCTGGCTTAGCTTTCCAGTGCTGCTGTAACAAATGCCACAGGTCGGGGCTTTAACCAACAGAGATTGATCCTCTCACAGTTCAGGTGGCAGAAGTCTGAATCCAGAGCGCTGGCTCTGGCGGAAGGCCTTCTCTCGCTGTCAGCTTGGAGGGAAGGCCCTGGTCTCGTCAGCTTCAGCCACTGGGTCTCCCTGTGGCTTGGCATCTGTTGTGCCCCATCTCACTGGCTGGTTTAGTCTCTTTTCCGCCTCTACAGAGAGTGACTCAAAACACACGCTCTGCTCATCCTGCTCATCAACATAACAGCCGACCCGTCCCCTGAAGGGTTGTAACAACAGGCACGCAGGTTAGCATTGACCCACATGTTTGGTGGCACGTAATTCAACCCATTATACCTTTGTAGTTGGAGACCTCTGCGGGTGCAGTTGATCTGTGGCAAAACCACAGGTCACCTGGACCCAGTGGTCCGTCCTAGTGATGTGGTCGCCTAAGCTGAGCATTAGTGTGTCTTCTCTTACATGAACCAGCTCTTGGTGGCCATGCCTTGTAGCCAGCTGCTGCACTCTGGGCTGAACAGGGTCTACATGCTTTGCAAAGAAAGCTGGCCATGTCGAAGCAGATCAGGAAGCAAACGCAGACGTCCTTGCGGTCCACTGAGAGCAGTGTCCTGCAGAGGCCTGTGGCGGCCCCCAGCTCAGAACAGGCATGGGTGGCTGCGAGGCTGGGGCCCACCTCCGCCCATCTTCAGCTCTGACCCTCCCCTGTGGCTCTTGTTTCTTGGTGGGTTTTACAGTAATAGGAGTGTTTTGCCCCAGACAGTATTTGCATATTTCAAAGACTGATTTTTGTACTTATCAGAGAAAAATGCCTTCTCTTTCTGGACATCTTCTCATTAGCAGTCTGATGGAGAAGCAGGCTTTTGGGGTTGACGTCAGCTTTTATGGTGGAACAGGGTTCTAAAGACCTTGTACAAGTCAGAATTTGGAAACTGAGGAGTGGCTTATCAGGAAGGACTGTTGAGGAGGAGGAAGGCCTCCAGGACTCAGGGTCTCGAAGCAGCACCCAGAGCTGTGTTTGATCATGTCTTGGTTTCCTCTACATGGACTAATATGTTGGCTTACATGAGTTACGCGTTTCTGAAGAAATACTGAAAAGCAGGGAGGTGCACATTATTCACATTAGTGTGATAAAATGGACTTGTATTTTCGACATCCCACTATTTTAAATTCATGTACAACGCAACCATGTATGTACACTGTTTGTTTCTTTAACTTTTTATTGTGATTTGGTGGCATTTTACAAAGCAGAGTCATTTTACGTTCAACAACTCCTACACGTTTTGTGACTC